CTGATACAATGCAATAAGAACATTTGTATTGAATGGAAACTGTGTGGGTCAAAAAGCAAAAATGAACAAAACATTCGATTGAAGATTTCACCATGTTCATCGATATTGACTAATCAGAGTTAAGAAACTGAATGGGTCTAACAATACCCATGCTACGTCAATCTTTAAAGACCCAAATGTTGCAAAACACTTGTCCTACTTCCATGACAAATATGTTGTTGTCCCTGCAGATAAAGCCCCAAACAACATCGTTTTTGTGTGTAAATCACATTACATAAACTGCTTGATAAATGAATTAGGTATTGATAATTCACTTGGAAACTCAACATATACCCCCACGACACTTACTAAAGAGGAAATCCTGGATAATCATAGGTCTGTTCTATGTTCCTTTGGAATTTCAACCAAAGATGAAGAACTGGATCTTCCATCACTGTATTGGATACCTAAACTACATAAGTGTCCTTACAAACAACGGTATATTGCTGGGCCTTCCAAGTGCTCCACGAAACCTCTTTTTAATTTATTAACATCAATTTTATCAACAATCAAAGCCGGGCTTCAAAGTTATTGTGAAACTGCCTATTCTAGAGGTGGCGTGAATCAGATGTGGATACTAAAAAATTCCAAAGATCTTTTAGAGTACATAGTATTACAATCTAAGACTCTTTCATCTTGCAATAGTATTAAAACATTTGACTGTTCTACACTTTACACAAGTATTCCCCATTCCAAACTAAAAGACAAATTGAAGGAGTTGGTATTGCTTTGTTTCATAAAAAAGAATGGCCAACGTAGATACAAGTATCTTGTCTAACGGAGGGATAAATCCTATTTTGTAAAAAAATCACTCTGATTCAAACAAAAATTCTCTGAAACTGACATTATCAAGATGCTTGATTTCTTGATTGACAACATATTTGTAACGTTTGGAGGACGTGTTTTTCAACAATCTATCGGCATTCCCATGGAAACCAACTGTGCCCCTCTTCTTGCCGACTTGTTCCTTTATTCTTATGAGGCTGACTTCATACAGGAACTTCTTAGGAAGAAAGAAAAGAAGTTAGCAGTATCCTTTAACTTTACTTTCCGCTATATAGATGATGTTATCTCACTAAATAATTCAAAATTTGGTGACTACGTTGAACGCATCTATCCCATCGAACTAGAGATAAAGGATACAACAGATACAGTTAAGTCTGCCTCATATCTTGACTTACATCTAGAAATTGACAATGAGGGTCGGTTGAAAACAAAACTTTACGACAAAAGAGATGATTTCAGCTTCCCAATTGTGGGGAACTTTCCATTTCTATGTAGCAACATTCCAGCAGCGCCTGCATACGGAGTATATATCTCCCAATTGATACGATATTCCCGGGCTTGTATTTTCTATCATGATTTCCTTGATAGAGAGCTGCTGCTCACAAGGAAGCTATTAAACCAAGAGTTCCAAATGGTGAAGTTGAAGTCATCCCTTCGTAAATTTTACGGACGCCATCATGAGTTGGTTGACCGTTATGAAATATCCGTTTCACAGATGATAGCGGATATGTTCCTAGTAACGTAACTACAATCCCGTTCCCTTTTCACGAATGTGACCTACCGAATTAGACTATTTACCGGGTTTGTACTAACATGAGCAACACGACGGGTGCCACATGTGGGGCAGGATCTGCTTACCCTTCCGGAGCATCGGAGAAAATAGAATATAAAAAAATACATGGAAACTCTTTTCGTCCCATCGCCCATATTTTATTATTATTGATAGAACGTCTAGAGCCTGTGTGATTAGAAAGTCCGTTGATGTCGACTAAAGAGGCTGCTTGGAAATACGCTGAAATATGAATGCCTAAATGATCGTTTTTTAGACTTTAAATGACTTTCAAGCTAAAGAATTGTAACTTACTCTGCAAAAACAGTACATTCAACAAAATGGCAACCAGGAAGCTTAACACCTTTAGTTAACTCTAGGTAGTAAACAGGTAAGGTCGTGATAGATATATGTTATATCTAAAATATACGTTACTTGAAACAAGTCGTCACCTTGGAAATATACTGGTCTATGTCCAATATTGTCACTTTGGAAAAAATAAGACTTGAAGTTTAAGCCAATGTCTATTTCATATTAAACTCAAGCTTTAAATTAAAAAGATGCTTTGCTTATGCAGGTCCTATGTGTATTATAAGTGCTTTACATGATCTTATAATTTTATCAATTGAATAGAAATTGAAATCAGATATTGGATATAGAACATTGTATGACCAAGAAAGAATGAAAAAGTTAAATCTTATACTGATATTGGATATAAAACAGTATAATTCTAAACAATAACTTATATAAGCATACTGCTCACATAATGAATTCCTCTGATATTGACCTCTTTTTTATTATCAAAAAACCACATGAATTTTTTTAATGTTTATTTCAAAAACAAAAACATCACATAAACTATCATACCTATTAAATAGTTTCGAATATAAAACTCAATATCAACAACTACGGTTTCCAACAACTAAAAATAAAATTGCATCCTTCTTGGAAATAGGAAAATCATTAAAAAAATAACGAATGTAAAATAAAAATAAAAATATTTAAAAAAAAAAAAAAAAAAATTGTCGATATCAATAACCATAGTATTATAGTATTATTATATTATTAGAAAACTCATTGTTCAATTCCATTTCTCATCTAACCCTCTGAATATAGCACGAGCAAATATCATAACTTTTGGTTTTGAAAGGCATAAACAAAGAATACCACCTACGTGAAAATAAAAAAAACAATCTAAAAAATATCCTTCTCAATGTTAATCACAAAATTCTGTTAAAACAAAAATTATCACAAAAATCAGAAAAAAACTCGTTTCAATTCCAGGTGTGCTTCATCAAATTTACCTCAATACTTTTTCAATGTAGTTACTGTCGTTAACTGGCATATATTTTTACATTGTCTTGATATCGGCAATCTTTTCTTTCGACAACGTGGGAGTCTTCCCAAGTTTAACAATTCTAGGTGGAGCAAAACTACTTGAATTACCACCACTCCCCTTCCTTGTTTGTTTTCTAACAGAAACCTCTGTGTAACTTTCATCTCCATAAGCTTTTTTGTATTTCACATGACATGGCATGGATGAATCAATTTTCAGCTAACTTTAGTAAATGTAACTTCAGAAAAAGCACAAGACAAACTGGCCTTTTGGAATTCATAAAGTCCGACTCCTTCATCTGAATAATTTTATGCTTCTTTTCCATACATTAGTAAGTACTCTCATGCAGCTGACAGGACTACATAGTTCATTCATGTGAAGTGTCTTCTCAATATGGCTATGTACATTACCAACCTCTTGAATAGGGAGTGTCCGGCCTGAAAATATTTAGTCTTTCGTTGTCAGAGTTGGGGTCGTATATAGCAAATTTTTTAAAGCTGATAACATTAATGAATTTCTGTTCTGTGGTACACATGAATCTTCTGTTTTCTGGTACACATGAATATGACCAAAAGGTAATTGTATCTAATGTTTTAAATTTAGCCAAAATATTTTTCAGAATAACAGTAAGGGCACTTGCAATTTCATTTCCTCCTTTGTTCAGCCAAAGTATAACATTGTATGCACACTTATTCAGAGAAAAGTGAGCAATAAGATTGTACATGTTAAGTTTTCTTTTATAAAAGAAATTTGAAATATTAGTACGAGGACATGTGATTACATTTTGCATATCAAAGCAAACAACAGGCTTGATACCATGTCTGTCATGGTCTCGTTCTACTTTAGCGTTATTTTTATTTTTCAATGTGATTTTCGTATTTTTTTCTTCGATTCATCAGTTAAAATATTGCCTCTCGAACTGGATTTAAATTCTTCACATTGATCACACATATCTTTTTTTAGGAATGTGAAATCCTAAATTGAATTCAGTGTTAAAACTACTTCGATAGATATGACTTTTCTCAACTCTAATGGACTTTGACCGACATTTTTCCTTATACAGCTGATACATATTTGAAAAGACAACGTTGGTTCTAAGTATTTACGAGATGAATTAGCTCTACAATAATGAGATTCAACATTCAGATATATGAGTTGATATAATCCATAATGCATAGGGCTGATTCTGGAATTTTGTGCTTGATATGTTGTCCTCTTTTGTCCTCAAAACAGGATTCTTATGATCAAAATACCACTGTATTCTCCGCGCACTTATATCAAGTGTGCTGAAATAGAATTATTTGCAAACTCGCACTTTGATTAGACCAAGGATGAAATTGTACTCAAATGAGAATTATTTTCTAGAATTTTGTTTGTTGGTGCGATGCCTATATTTTATTAGTGTTAGCTTTTAAAATTATCTCTCCCACTAAGATTTAATAATTTAATAAAGTTAAGAATGTCTTCATATAACTAGAATCGGATTATCCATTCTTTTTTCGTTGAGCCTAGGCACTAGGGACATACACAAGTCCTCTAATTAGTTTTTATTTTTATTTGCAAATATAATTGGTTTTGTGTGGTCTTAGTTCTGTTTAAATGACTAGATCTTGTTATGCATCTTTCAGTTAGGTTTCATGTGTTAACCTTGAATGCTTACCATTTTAAATTGACTCTGGCTGAGCAAATAGCAACCTCAAATAAACAACTGGAGATATGATTTTCTTCTTGTATTATTCATTAGAAATCCATCCTTGCTAATCGTCATCATTATCATGATCTATTATTACCGATTTATATTGAAGTATTGATTATTTTAGGTAAGTTCCTTCATCATTTAAGTTGCATGTTTATGTAACCCTTTCTTTAGTAAACCGTTACTTGGAAATAATGGGTTTTTTTTTTTAATCTAACATGGACATGTGATAGGTAATTATTTTCTGTCACAAATAATTTACAATCTGGAGAACCAACACACAAAATTAGTCGCCTCATTTTGTTTTATAATATATATCCCTTTCAACGCATGGAGATAGAAAACGTTTTATGATTTATTGAATAAACTAAGACTTAGTTCAATTTCCATCCTGCAAATGTGGATTTTGCCTTTCTATAACCTAGTACAGTCCCAGTACAGTCTTCGTATGATCGCAGGTATACATTATCACCTTGGTTGACTGCTACCACAATAGTCCCAGAATCGGAGTCGAAGTCAGCACTGACATCGTCAGTTTCACCATATGTGCTATCGTATATAGCATCATTTACAAGTAAGTCAAAATGGATAGCACCATGATTACCAGTGTATAACTTGTACGTAAAGACATACACCCCTGCAGTCGGAACGGTGAAGGTTCCGGTGAATTTGCTGTAACCATTACCAAGGTTCGTTTTTACTTCATCGAATATCAGTTGATGATGGGTGCTTGGATGTGGTTCATTCGTAGTCATATAAGCATAAAATGCCGTGATGGTCTGTGTGTTTACCTGGCCTGTGCCAATCAAACGTTTAGCTTTCAGTTGCTCTGAAAACAAAACAAAAAACACAAAACTCATTAAAATTATATATGTTTTTTTTATTAGTATTGAAATTCATTTGTGATTATTATTAATGAATAAAAAGATGTATAAAATTGAGAATGGAAATGGGGAATGTGTCAAAGAGACAACAACCCGACCATAGAACAGACAACAGCATGTTTTCTTTGAAATGTCCTTTTGGGGAGATGTAAAGGGATAAATCAACTGTTGTTTCGCAGATGCATATTATTGCTATATCATCAGAACGTTATTAAATAAAGCCAGTTTAAGAACTGCATGCATGGTGCATTTTATAAACACAAAAGTTTAAAGTAACTTTTTAGCACATAAAACGTACATTTTCAAAGTTTTCAATAAGTTTGCGCGAACTTGTATGATTAAAAATCAGATGATTATGAATAAAAGGAAATGCTACGGGTGTAATATGAGGAAATGAGACGCAAACCCAACAATTATCTAATATCAAAAACATGATCGAAAAGACGTCAACACACAGCTTTCAAAAGTAGAAAGGTGTCAATATTTTAAGCTGTAAATCGGGACGATACACATATTTTATATATAGAAACTAGTCGCAAGATTGGTCATCAACACCAATTTCTCCAACTAAATATACACCATGATTTGACAAATGATAGCCACTTGGGTGGTTCCTTACTTTGGACAGATATAATTATGTGCCGGGAGGGGGCATCGATTTCCTCTATTTTCGTAAAATCACGAAAATTAAAGTGGTATATAGCTAACTAACCTCTTCTTGTTTTTGGGTAACGATTCCTTATCCCTTTTTTGTCCTTCATAACCCCAATTCTAGAAACCTCTTTATTATGTTCTATTTGATGATGGGTACCATTTGTTCTCTTGACTCCTTTGGACGACATTATCAGCCCAAGACTGTCAACTTCCTTCTTAAGTGCCAGGTTCTCAAAATCTAGTCGATCGACGTGTTTCCGAAGGGAACGAACCTCCGTTTTCAGTGACTGTTTTTCCATATCTAGTCGACTAACATCTTTCCGAATAGCCTGGTTTTCATCACGGAGACTTATTATTTGCGATTCCTGTTGTTGAAGTATATTACGTATTTCTGAGATTTCTTTTTGCATGTCAACTGCTGCCATAAGGCCAGGCAATAAAAGCATTACACAGTAGAAAGTCTCCATTTTGTCGACAGATTTAAGAGATAACAAACTGCACTACGTTTGTGAAAATTAAAGATAAGAGTCAAAACGAACATATGTTAAAACTTTATGAGACGACTAAACTTGTATATTATCATTCAATTTGCGCAACTATTTTTCATGTTTAACGCATCATCGGCTGCAGATCATGGATTTTGAAAAAAGGGGGCTGGCAAGTCAGCGGTTGGAGTGATACTTGTCTAAATTTATGCATTATACATGTGGTATGATTGCACATGAGAAAACTCTTCACCAGAGATCAAATGACGTATAAGTTTAAACAATTATGGATCACCGTACAGCATTCTAGAATAAGCAAAATCCATACCGCATTGTATACTAAAAAAGGCCCCGAATGACAAATGTAAAAAATAATCAACCAGAAAACTAGCCTGATAAAAAATCTTGACCAAGACAGGATAAAATGATAATTGTGCAGTATTGATGGACAGGATTTGATTGTGTACAAAGCATAAAACAAATGCCTAGAAACACGTAAAAATGAATACTAGTAGTCGTCCGCTTCCCGCAACCACCCCTCCCTATAAACAGCCATGATAACAAATGGTCATCAACTAACGACAGGCTTATTCTCATTTCGCCTTAGCTATCAAAATCATTATATAAAATTAATCCCATTTCGCCTTAGTACAAATTTTCAGGTACAAAAGAATTAACTATGTCGAAATGGGAACTGGTGTAATAAAGTTTTGTTTTTTTTTTGTGTCGCAATTAGTTGATTTTTTTTTTATTTTAATGTCAAAATCTGCCATGAAGTACTTTTTAAAAGAAGATGTTTTTTCAGTGTCTTCAAGATTGTCCCACTTTTTGAATAATTCTTTTTATAGTGGCTCATCTTTTTTTAAATGTATTTTTTTTTTTACTTATGTGATATATTTTGTTAATAAAGTCTCTGCTGTCGTTTCAAATTAGAGATGACAAATAGGATAATTATGGAATATTTCAATGAAAAAATAAAGACAAATATCATACAATCATAACAAATATTTATTTCTGAATCAGCACTGAAGAAAATCATATCTCCAGTGATTTATTTGAGGTTGCTGTTTGCTCAGCCAGAGTCGTTTTAAAATGGTAAGCATATATATGCCACTGGATCACATAGCCTAAACCAATCAATGTCTTACTCTTTCCATGTGTGTTTTTCTCCCCGTATGACGACAATCACTCCAAAGTACTGTCTTTATATTTGATTATAAAATTATAAAATTATATGTAATTGGTTTTATACTTTTCAGGAACTACAGAAGTACTATATATAAAAAAAGTAAAACTTTCTCTCTTTTTTTAAAGAACTTTTTAATAAAAAGAATCAAATTATTATACAAATTCCCTGAATTTAATCAGGGAATCTGTAAAAAGGGTCTTCATTATTTCAGGGATTTTGTAAAATCCCTAGTCAAAATCAGGGATTTTGTAAAATTACTAATCAGGTCAGTGATTATACAAATCCCTGAAATTCCAGGGGTTTTACAAAATCCCCGATTTTACAAATTCACTGTAACATATACACATCATCTGATAACTGGTCAGTGAATCTATACGTAACTTAATAGCAGATGCGGATTCAGGGTTTGCATGCGGCAAAAGCGGGCGTAGCCCTAACAATTCTGTTGAAAGGAGCGAGGCAAAATTTTATTAGCGTACTTCATGCCAAACAAAGCTATACTTTCTTTCGACTTTAGGATGGGGCGGGACAGGCGCTCGTCATAAGGACTTGTCTATACAGGTCAGATAAATAGCCCGTTTTCGTCTATACGTGCATATCTATAAAATGTTGTAAATCATATGGCTACGTATATATACATCTTTTACATTCTGAACACCATCAAACAGATATTTGAAAAGGATGGAACCAATTTCGATACTGCGGTTCCCCAACGAGGTTTTCTTACATCCAATGCATACCAAAAATAAGTAAATATAAAAATAAGGAGATGTGGTATGATTGCCAATGAGACAACTATATCCACCGAAGTTCAAATGAATAAGAAAAGACATACCGTATAGTCCGCTGTAAAAGTCCCCGACATGAAAAATATGAAACAATTTAATTGGGAAAACTAAGGCCCAATTTAAAACAAAACAATTTACGAACATGACAGACATGAACCAGCAACAACAACTGAACACTAAGTACAGATATGAGAGTACTCGCAGTTACTTGACAGCTAGTTCAAAGCCAATAACAACTAATAAAAAATCATGTTCCTAAGACTAAAATATCAATCAGTACCCATCCAACATCCATTGGATTTAGTGTAAAGACGTCATTAACAGTCAGAGAAAAACATGATTTCAGTGTGCAATGCTAAAATATAGGTATCGACAGATCGGCGTACTGTGAAAGTACATATGTGTATTACAATAATATTTGGTATGGTTTTAATTTACAGATAACAAAATCAATATTTATACCAATAAAAACAATATTCAAAGATTTAACTACAGTGTTGAATTGATAACCTATTTAAGAATAATTATATTTATAAAGGATTGATAAGTTTACCCGGAACGAATTAGTTTTCTACAGGTACAGCCAAACTTGCATCTATGGAAGAATTTTAAAGTTAAGGCTTTAAGTAATTTGTGGTGACGAAATCCCTGACTTATATAATAATTTGCTAGTAATAAATACATTATTATACTGACAAGACAATATACTTTATCAAGTTTTCTGTTTTATAAAACATACAAATAGTAATAAAACATACTTACATAGACATAAAACTTGCAAGAGCCACTATAAAAATAGTACAGTAAGATTATCTAAAAAATGTATATTATAATATACTTTACTTACAATATTTAAATTAAGAAATTATTTCAGACATCAACCGGACAGAAACAGAAGAAAAAACATTAAACGAAGAATATTGTAACACCAATGTGTTGTAGCAAATAGTTTTTTTGTACAGTTAAAATAAACCCATAAAGTATGATCCGTGAATGAATTATATATGAGTGCCATCACTGAAGTGTTCATATTTGATTAGTGCCACAGAATAATAATGATTTTGTATATTTATATTAACAAGCGCATTTACCTATTCTAATTACGTTCATTTTTTTAAGAATTCAGGGATAAATAATAATTATATATTAATACTATTTCAGTTTATCATAACATTCATGAAACATGGTTTATTAAATTGTTCAAAATACATACTATTTCCTTGTTGCTTGGTAAAAGAAATCAACTCGGATTTTATTTAAACAAATCACTCAACATTTTACAAAGTTAAACTTGGTAAATGTGACAATTTACGAGACAAAGATATTATTATAGTTATTATGTTTAATTTATTGAAAAATTAATGTTCCCATTAACAACAAAAAAATCTCTTTACAATATTCTGTATATTTGAAGTTAATGGCAGACACACCTGACATATATGTGACATTTCTTACTTTAAATAATCAATGTATGAATAATAGTACATTTACTTAAACAAAAAATATTTAAATTAATCAGTATTACAAAATACACTTTCTTTTCACTAAAACGACATTGCAGATGTTGGCAGAATAAAACATATAAAAGCACATAGTTTCCACATCGCTCGTGGGACAGTATTTGGCATAAAAAGTAACAGGCTTATCATTTATATATTAAAAAAAAACACAAAGTTTAACAATAAAAATTTTGAAAAAAGGGGGGTCAATTCCCCAAGCGCGCATCTCCGGCGTTGTTCAAAATACAAGTGACGTTGTAATTTTAATAATGACATCAATCACGTGCACCTCTTGTTCTATTGGAATCAAAACATGGATTTGATGTTCGCAAGAGAACCAGGAACGTCATTTTTAAAATCCCGGATTTTGTTATACCGAACTTGTGGTAATGAATATTGGATTCTGCGCTTGCGTACTACAAATACACGTGTAAACTTCCGGTTATCGGCAAAATTAGGAATAGACTCTGCAAAAACTTTGTCCAAATATAAAGAAAATGGGTACGTTATTCACCAAAATCAATTTCAGGCAAACATTTCGACAGTTACCTACTCATGCCATGGCAATAAGATATCTGCTTGCATGTGAAAGTCTCTACACTACAGAAGACTGTCGTCGTGATTCTCATCCACGCTCAGTGATTCAACTTCAAGCTACAGTCACTCTTGGCGATGATATGCCTGTATCAGGATCAGGATGACTTTGTGATTCACTTAGAAAGGCATCTCTAGGGTTAGACGATACTTTTGCATATTGTATGCTTCTTTTCCTGACTTGAGCAGAAGTGCTGTAGTATTCAAGTTTGAAGCCTGCAGTGTATTTGTAGCCTTACAGTTACAATAAATTTACAGAATACAGTAAAACCCACCTAAACGATCACCTGCATTGAATGACCAACTGCTGTAAATGACCACTTTTCATTCCCCCAGTCGATTTCCCAAATATATTTTAACAAAATAAGCAACCACCTATCAGGGTTCTCACTAGGAATTTTTCATGGTGAGTCCTGGGACTCTTCACTTTTAGAAATGGTGAGTCCCAATAGATTTTGATGAGTCCAGGATGCGTGTAATTTTTTGTGTCTTATAATATGATGAAATATGATGAATTAAAACTAAAAGATGCATGTTTGATTTGTAGTTTTTATTATATCACCAACATGTGATCACGAAATAACACAACAGTACTGAAAGTGGTGTTAAAACACCAGTCAATCAATCAATCAATCCAACTTTGGACACCAGAATAACAACTGAAAAATTAAGTAACCCTATGGCACCCTACAACTATTCCTCTTCAAGTCATAATTTTTATCAATATCAAAAGGCAAACATAAAAGGAGTTAGAAAGATAGTAGACCAATGTTTGAACATAGCCCCCAAAAACAGCCATTTACAGGTTAAATATATAATACAGGGCAATAAATTAAAAAATATTCTTATTACAAGTCCCTTGATACATTGGTATAATTTTTTTACACAATAAAAAGAGATACATGCATTTCATGTATATAAAAACAAGCAAATCTAAAGTGAACACTGTTCAAAATATTGAGATTGGCTAAATAGTAATTATTCTTTAATCATTTCTTAATCGGATTTGTTTCAATCATTCAAAACATTTTTCACCTTGTTTACGATCGCGATGTTCAACATGCACACAATACGAGAAAAATGTTAAATCATTCGAAGACCAGTAGAATTATTCTTATCCGTAAAATTTCAAATCAACTTTTTTCTACGATCTATTTTATGCATAGTAGCAACAGTTATGAAATATTATATCATTTCATTTCAAGTTCTCAAAATATTTTACTGGTTCATTTGACAGTCAGGGTACTACTTGTACTTGAAGAAGTAAATATTAATATACTTATATAAGTAAATTTGTAGGATACTTATACAAGTGTATTTTATTTACTTGTGTAGGTAAATAATTTTTTGGCTTAGTTATGATCCTTAGACATTCAGATTTTTTTACTTATACAAGTAAAAAAGTCATCCTATCTTCTTTTCTTGAATTTCATAAGACTTCTTTGCTCTAATAGAATTTTTAATTGTCTGTCCTTTGCAGATGTCTTTACTAATCATTTAAGTGTAATTTCATGGACAATGAAAATCTCATTTGTCTGTTATCTTTAGAACACTTCTCATTTACAAGCCCCCAAGGAGCAATTTTTGGAGGCCTTGCCAAATAGTTAAGATCTTTGCACAATCAGTTTCTTTGTTGAATCAAGGGGATGAAACATTGAACTCTAATAAAAAATTATGAGCTAATCTGAGAAAAATTGTTCAAGGCATGTTTTTACATCTCAAAACTTGAGAATTTTTGTGGGATTGTAAAAAAAAAAAACAAGTAAATTTTTGAGAAAATTAAGGGGAGATTATTGAAACAATATAATTAACTTATATAAGAATATTTTTTTTACTTCTTCAAGTAAATAAAGATTACTTGTACAAGTAGTACCCCTAACTGATTGATAAATACGTGATGTTCAACACGTGGAAATATTAAATCTTTTCAAATGCTCGTAAATTTAAACAAAAAATTGGTAACTATTACATATTCATTAATCAGTTTGAACAGAGTTATATATTTTAGGATGAAAGACATTTAATTTTAAAAAATAGTTATCAGTCAACAAAAATATCCATCTACGCATTACATAAATTTTTCAACATCGACTTCCAGTTTAGTGTCCTGTCAATCGTGAATTTTCTTGGCAAAAAGATGTGTTTGGGACTCAGCGGATACAACAAGGACGTGTCCCCGGGACTCACGGGTTTCAAAAATGACGCGTCCAGCTCGATTTTCATGCGTCCAGGACGCTATACGCGTCTTAACGAGAACCCTGCCTTTTTGACCTTACTTCATATATATTAGTTTGAAACTACCATCAGCACTATTTTAACCAATGCATGTCACTTTGAAGGATCAACAACTATCGAAAAGGAATTATCATGCCGCGATCATGAAGATCACTCTGGTGTGAGATAAAACCTATCATTTTTTTCGGTAACAGCATACATGTATGACTCAGGCAATTATTGCTTAAAATATGCTGATGGGCTTAAATTACATTTTTTAAAACATGTTTATATATAAGTAACCCTCTTGCTGTTGGATGGACACATATGACATATGTCCATATTTTAAATTATGCTAACTCCAGTTTATTACTGTATCTCTTTCAAAATAATTCATGGAAAATTAAACAATATAATATTTCTCTTCAATGGATCTCCACTGAGTCCACTCTCCAGTGTAACGCATTAGGGCGTGACGTCATACATTGTATATTGAATGGACAGAGTTTTCAAAATCTTTTATTCCATGGTGGCACTTGAAGAAAATCTGCTGGTCCTCACTATTTTTTCTATTGCAAAATACCAAAATTGTGTTGGTCCTTTGCAAAATTTTGGTGGTCAAAACCTACGGACCACCACTTTTCGATAACTCTGAATTATGATGTTGTAGATGGGCATTTGACGTCACAGACATCTAGCTTCAGTATTTTCATGATTTTCTGGCACATGAATTTTATTTTCAGCATTTTGTTACATGTAGTAAACTAATAAGACTAAAACAAAACAGCTGTTGTGTCTCAAACTTGAGCTTCATGTACATGTACATGATGTAATACCTGATGAACTCTTATTCCCACAGGATAGATATACATGTATGATTAGTTAAATACCTCTTTAATGGTTCCAAACATTGTTCAATGTCTTCAACATGTTCAATGTAAAAAAATATGTTAAACTTTTTCTTTTTCAGGTGGAATTTGGAGCTATTTTTCTGGCTTATTTGGTACAAAAGAGAGAAGAATTTTGATACTTGGTTTAGATGGTGCAGGAAAAACCACAATATTATACAGACTACAAGTTGGTGAAGTTGTGACAACTATTCCAAGTATGCCATATTCCATACTTACAATGTACATGGCATAAATTTCTTACAGACCTACAAACAAACAGACAGACAAAATAAATGGTTCTTTCGACGATTTCATTTCTCCTTTTTGAAACAACTATACCAAGATTTAAAGTTCAATGAAAGATTTCCTTGAAATAAGCCTGTGATCCATTGCACTTCAAAAAAGAATCCAATTCCTATTTTAAATATGTTAATGTGTAAATGATAGATATAAGAAGATGTGGTGTGAGTGCCAATGAGACAACTCTCCATCCAAGTCAAAATTTATAAAAGTAAACCATTATAGGTCACAGTACGGTCTTCAACAAGGAGCCTTGGCTCACACCTAACAGCAAGCTATAAAGGGTCCCAAAAATTACTAGTGTAAAACCATTTAAACGGGAATATGTATTATCTATGTATGATGGAAAACTATTTCTCTTATGGTTTGTAATTTTGAGTTCATCATATGATTTCCTAACATCTAAGTCTTTGCAACCAGGAGTGGGTCCAACACTACAGAGAAAAAAAATTCCCGACTTTGTTTACATTCATCTAACCAAAAATGTTTGACATTAGTATTTTTTCCTCAATTATGAATGATAAAAATTATTAATGATACTATATCTGGTATATCAATAGATACTTTAAATTTGTGTTGTACAAAAAAGGGTAAACAAATATAAATGCAACAAGTTAAATGGATGGAATTTGTGACCCCATGCAAGGAATGTACTATATTTGAATAACAATTCATTGTTGTGTTTACCGATCATTTTCCTGTATTAAACATATTTTTGTCTTTTTCAGCAATTGGTTTTAATGTTGAAACAGTTCAGTTTAAAAATTTAAAATTTCAAGTATGGGATCTTGGTGGACAAACAAGTATAAGGTAAGGTCTTGCTTGACAATTGTTCAAAAGAGTAAGATTTGCTACACAAGTACAGTATATGATAAGCTGTGTTTAATGTTATAGAAAAATGTCACAATATATACAATGTACATGCAATATGCATTGTATTGCTGACTCTCCAAAAAAAAAACCTTACAATTTATACATTTCAATCCTAATACTCTTATAACTGTATGCAAAAAACATGATAATCATACTAATATTAGTAATGTAGAATAGATTTTGATCAATACTGCTAAACTATTTTATTGTTTATTTACAGTTCATACAGTAAGGGTCATAATTTTACAAGTGTTGGTTTTTTTTACTTGTACAGGTGAATTATTTTGGAGGTGCAGTCATGTCCCTTAGACATTCAAATTTCAAATTGTATATGAAGAAAGTCATATTTTCCTCTTTTCTTGAATTTCTTTTGACTACATTGCTGTAAATGAGTTTTCAGTTGTCTGTCATTAATAGATGTTTTAATATTCATGAAAGAGGCGAAAGATACCTAAGGGACATTCAAACTCATAAGTCGAAAATAAATTGACAACACAATGGCTAAGAAAGAAAAAGACCAATAGACAAACAACTGTACACAAAACACAACACAGAAAACCAAAGACTGAGCAAATGTATAATTTCATTGACAATGAAAATCTCATTTGTCTGTTATCTTCAAAACACTTTTCTCAAGGGAGCAATTTGTGAAGTCCTTGCACAGTTACTTAACATCTATGTGCATTAGAATTCTTTTGTTTAGTTCTTGAGATAAAAGGTTGAACTATAATTAAAAAAATATTAGCAAACTAGAAAAAATTGTGTGGGGATGATTTTCCTACCAAAACTTCAGAATTTAAGGTGGTGTAAAAAAACATTTCTTGTATCAGTAAAGTTTAAGAGTATGGGGAGATTATTAAAATCTTGAAATGAAAATTAAAATCTTACACCTAAACAATACTTACATCTTCAAGTAAATAAATATGACTTGTATAAGTATTACCCCTATAAACTGTCATACTGTTAATGCAATGGTTTTCAAGTTTGATTCCCTCAATATCCTGTCATTTCCCCTGTGTCTTCTGAATTAGATGAACCATGAAATCTTTGTAAATTTATATATAGTGTAAATAGATATATATACCGATATATAATTAGGAGACGGGCAGACTCTACTTCATTGTTCCTTGTACAAACTCAAATAGATATATTTTATCATTAAATTTTAATCGTATATCATGTATATTGACAATTAAATAACCAAGGTTTAACTTTAAAATTTCAGACCATATTGGAGATGTTACTATAGTAACACAGATGCCATTATATATGTAGTAGATAGTATGGATAGGGAAAGAATGGGTATCTCAAAACAGGAATTATTCTCTATGTTAGAGGTAAGAAAAAATGAAAGCGGATGCATTCTGCTTGTTGGTAGAAAGGCTCAATCTTGAACCAGTTGTCAACAAGGTAGATTTAAGAATGTATAATGATACATATCAAAATAAGAAGATGTGGTATGACTGCCAATGAGACAACTCTCCACCAGAGACCAAATGACGTAGAAGATAACAACTATAGATCACTGTAAGACCTTCAACAATGATATAAAACATTTCAAACAAGAAAACTAATGACCTGATTTATGAACAAAACAATAAATTAAAAACAAATATGATATACAGCAACAAACAACAACCACTGAATTACAGGCACATACAGAATGTGGCAGGGTTTAAACGTGTGCTGGCACCAAACCCTCCAACTAACCTGGGACAGTAGTGTAACAGCACAACATTAGAACAAACAATAAGAAAACAGTTGAAAAGGGCTTAACTCATCAGATTGATACAAAGCAGAAAAAAAATAAAAGTCACAACGTACAGATCTGAGAGTACTCACAGTTACTTAAAGCTAGTTCAAGGCCCATAACAACTAATAAAAAAATCTTGTATCTAAGATTAAAATATTTGTATGCAGCATTTCCTGAAATCGTAATAATTGCCCATTGTCCACAACGACAGTATAAATAAATGCACAGTGACATTTTTTAATTTACAGTTTCTGATATATCACACATGTAATGCATTTATTATGGTTTACATTTAATCTATTTCTTTAATTCAGTTTTGTTTCCTGATAAACCGGAAATAACCCAATTTGAACTACATTTTGTATGTTCTATTTCCTATTTAGTTCAGGATTAGTTATGTCATTTCTTAGAACATCTCTTTTCAGTACCAACAAATAGTAAAAAAATTCATTTTGATTTGGCTTTGTATAGAAAATAATTGATATCTTTCTGGTGCAACATGCATACAAACTATCATTATGTTTTGGTTGTCTGGATTGTTGCAAAAATTATAGTTATGATAGAATGGGCATCAAATACTTAACTAATACTTATTTATGACAAAACTTCTTCATATTGTATTTGTTTTATTTTTACAGGAAGATGAATTAAGGAAAGCTGTCCTTGTAATATTTGCTAATAAACAGGATATAGAGGGCGCTATGACACCAAGTGAAGTAGCTAATGCATTAGGACTTACAGCAATTAAACATAAATATCAGATATTTAAAACATCAGCAATCAAAGGGGAAGGACTAAATGAAGCAATGGAATGGTTGGTTACTGTAAAATACATTTATTCATGGTTTCAAACGTTTGTGTTTTGTCCACAAAAAACAACATTGATTTGTTGGTTATAGAATTAGTGGTTTCATATTTTGCATATTAAAATGGAAAATTTGTAATTTGATAGGTTTAAGATTTGTTGTATCAATTATTCACAAAGATCCATTAGTTTTCCTTTACCAATGAAATGACCAAAAATTAATACTTCAAAAGTAATTACGAACCAACAGTATACACAGATTTATCAAATGAAGTCTATAAAAACTAAGTAACTTTACTATTTATATTTCTTTAATAAATTAAATAAGAAGCCTCGTGGTTAAATGGTCTTAAGTGGTTCATCTACTGTAATACAATCTTGTCAACACTGGTGGATTTGAAATCTGCACTTGGCAAGTGGTTTCAACTCCAATCTTAATTCCATGGTTCTCATTCAGGGCATTCTGGCTTCCTCCAACAATAAAAACTTATTACCAGGATATAGCCAATTGTTCAGAAAATGGAGTTAAAAACTAACAATCAATCATTAAATTAAATGTATATTTTGTTTATTTCAGGACTGCAAATACACTAACACAACAAAAGTGAAGAACATAAGAACAAAGACTATATTTATTGGAGTAATAATGTGACCAACAAGTGTGATGAGAAAAAATACTGATGATGGTCAAGTAGTAGTGCTAACAGATAAAAAAAACCAGTACATTGTAAAATTGAAATATTATAAATCGATATTGTATTCGAAAACCATTATTTTACTTGATGGTTCTGAGATGACAACATTAAAGAAATTGTTTTAAATGTCACATCCGCTTGATATAAATATTCAACCATTGATAAATAAGAACTTTAAATTTCCATTGCCATGGTATTGTCACCTTTAAACCATGATGAAAAGGTTGTCTATAAATGGTCATGGTCTCCAGTCAAATTGATCTATGGTATTGAGTAACTTATGTTTATCAGGCTTTTTTCACAAAAATTCTTACGATAAAAGTTGATCGTAACTTCTACTGAAAAGTTCATGACTTAAGAGTGTTTTTTCTTGTAAGTTTTTTTGTGAAATTGATGGCTGCTTTGAACACTAGTAGACTTTGGATTAAAGTTGTGGGTATTTTATAATTTAGATTTTGTAGTTGATTGTCATGTTTTTTAAATGATATTCCTGAGTACTGAATACCAGTAATTGAGATGTAAATTTAATGTTCTATCAAATTTCTGAATATATTGGAAATTAAGAAATTATTGCATGCTCTTATTATTGCAATTGTTGAACAATGGACTAAAATGCCAGATTAATTTTTGCGATTTCGGGAAATGCTGCATACAAATAATACCTGCCAAATTTTAAAATAGGAGTTTTTAATTTTTTTTGTAAAACCAATCCTGTCGTAGTTTTCGCAAAAATTTCTGAATTTACATTTACAGTAAACTGTTTTCTTTGACCATGTGACAAATGCTAAATCATTTTTTCTCACAAATTGTTATGGTTTTTCTTCATTTAAAATATATAAATATTTCATTGTAAATTACAAAAAATGTATTCCGCATTTTTGTGCCTGTCCCAAGTCAGGAGCCTCTGGCCTTTGTTAGTCTTGTATGTTTTTTTAATTTTAGTTCATTTATATGTTTGGAGTTAAGTGTGACGTCCATTTTCACTGAACTCTCCCTCTTCAGTTTATGGGGAAGGGTTTCCGTCTAAATTATTTTTTACATGTATAGATTAATAAAGTTTTCCATTAAACGAATTTTGATAAAGGGGGAGGGTGAATGTCTAAAATTGTTTTTACATAGATTATTGATGTTGTTCATATAATGATTTTCAATCTATTGTCACGAACACACAAGTGACTAAGTGGAGTGTATTTGTGTATGTCTTTTGCTTGTTTTTGTGAGGTTATTTATTATTGTTTATTGAGAAAAAGTTTTATTTTATAATTATACATTACGAAAAGAAAATATTAAAATATGACAAGTCTAATGCTTATTATTTTCATTCACTCACAGATGTATTGATCTTTTCAATTTTTTGTCAGATTAATAGGCCATTAGTTCATCAATGGCTATAACCAAGTATATGTACCCTTTCAAATTAGTCAAAAGTACCATCAGAATTGAGAATATTCTTAAAGGGGTATTTTTGAAATTTATAGATATGTAACCTACAAATTGGAAAAGTACCCATAATTGATTTATGAATCCCCTGGATAATAGATACAGCAAGGGTAACTTTGGTAGTTGACAATAAAAAAATATCATTTTGAAAAAACAAATCTGCCTTTTTCCTTTCTGGTTAAAATTTCCAATTGTCTACCTGTATAAAAAATAGCTTGAGTAAGCTTGATATTTGATTTATGCTCCATTCAGTGTGTTTTTTTTTTTTTTTTTATAAAAATAATGAGAATTTTTCAACTTTATCACTACAACATAGTACTTCCTTACAGATATTACTTGTTGGCCAAATATGACTAATTTCCCCTTCACTTGTTCCATTAAAATGGTCTAAGTCTTTAAACCCAAAGGGTTGACTGTGGTATAGAAATATAACCATTCTTAAATCTTCTTCCCAACCGATGCCAAAGTGGAGCATCTGTTTGGCTGTGCGGGATGTATAAATTATTGTTTTGGATAGCAACAGAAATTTAGCCTTCTATCAGGCCACCTATGACCCCATATTGCAGGAGCTACACGTACATATAGTATTGATAGTTTCCTCCCTAACATGCATGAAGTATTTGCCACTGGATGTAAAGCAAACAACAATCAATAAGAAAAAGCGTTTAAATATAAAAATAAGGAGATGTGGTATGATTGCCAATGAGACAACTATCCACCAAAATTCAAATGAAGTGGATGTAAGCAATTATAGACAACCGTACGGCCTTCAACATTGAGAAAAACCCATCCCGTATGGTCGACTATAAAAGGCCCTGACATAAAAAATATGAAACAATTTAAATGAGAAAACTAACAGCCTAATTTATAACAAAACAATTCGACAGACATGAAACAATGACAACCACTGAACTACAAGCTCCTGACTTGGGACAGGCACATATAGAATATGGTGGGGTTAAACATGTTTGCGAGCGCTCACTTAAAACCTACTAGTATTCCAAATCAAGAGTATATAATATTCTCACACAAATTATCAACAATTTCACATGTTTCAATTAAATTGAAAAGTTTATATCAAAGGAAGTCTAACAGAAATGAATTAAATTTGTATTCAAAGGATAATACATATTGCTCTGTTTCACATGGAATTCTGGTTTTTGTATCCCTGCAACTAAGTAGCAGAATGTGAGACATAGGGATAACTAGCTGGCAGCTATAGAAACTATTTGTATAAAGCTTTAAATTTTCAGAAGGTAGAAGACCTAGATGTTTCAAATAAGGAGTTATGGTATGATTAACAATGAATTGCCTTATGTTATGAAGTTTCAGTCTGTGATATGTCCTTGTCCTCATTTTCATGGATCATTGATTCCTTATACTATTTATGATATTACTCGAAATTACCAAAATTCTGTCAAAATTGCAGTTAAGAATCTTCTTCAGGCAGTCATATGTTCAAAAATACATCAAACTGTTGTTAAATTTTACCAATTTGAATCCATGATACTATTAATCTTAGAAAAAAATGAAGAACTTCAAGAAAATTGTTCTAGTGTGAAATCAATTCAGAAGAAAGTGTTCCTACGTCTTTATCTGTACATGTATATTATTTCATGTTCACAAGAAGACCAGCTTTGGTGACATTTCTAGTGACACCTGTATCCTCACACATTAACAAAATATCTCAATAGAAAATTGCTACAATGCAATACCTTATTAATATATTGAATATTTTCTTTGCTTCTTGATTAAAATCAAAATGGTTAACAGCATACTCCTGTCTGTTGACTGAAGATAACTTGCTATTTATTTATATTGGAAGTGCAGTTTTCCTCCTGTGTAAATGAGTAAATTTGTTTTTCCAGTTATAGCTCATTGAAGTGTCCAATCTAATAGAATGGTTGGAAGTGGTACAGAAGTTATGCTTTGCTGCAACTGAAGGCTGAAAATGTTATACAATTTATGAAAAGTATCAACAAAGAGTTGCACTAAATAAGCAAATAACTATCATTTTAAATAGAGGCTGTTTAGTATTGTTTGTTTTTTAAACAGATCAGCAAAATTTCAAGTACATTTCCGATCAGTTCCTTTTTATACGACCGCAAAAAATTTTTGCAGTCGTATATTGGTATGTCGTCGTCGTCGTCCGGCATCATCGTCCGAAAACACATTGGTTTTTTCGCACTGTAACTTTAGTTTAAGTGAATGGATCTCTTTGAAATTTTACCATAAGGTTCAATACCACAAAAGGAAGGTGGGGATTGATTTTGGGGGTTATGGTACCAACAGTTAAGGAATTAGGAATTAGGGGCCAAAAAGGGGCCAAAAATAAGCATTTTCTAGTTTCCAGACAATAACTGTGGAACGGTGTATGGATCTCTCTGAAATTATACTACTAGTTTCCATACCACAAAGGGATGGTTAGGATTTGCTTTGGGGGGTTATGGCTCAAACCGTTTAGGAATTAGGGGCAAAAAAGGGGGAAAAACAAGGTTGTCCTGGTTAATACTTTAGTACAAAACATAATTTAAAGCAGTGTAAGGGAGATAAATCAAATACATCATTGAAATTATCTCCTTTACACTGCTTTTAAATTATGTATAAAGTAATTGTTAATGAACAATTAAGATAATTTTAAACAGTGTAAGGGAGGTAATCCAAATACAACATTTTGGTTACTTCCCTTACACTGCTTTTAAATTATGTTTAAAGAAATGCATATTTATAAAGGAAGACCAGTAAAAATATCTGCAAATGTTGCATCTTTTTTTTTTACAAAAAAATCCATATGAAAGATTTTACACTATATTTTAAATTCTATTATAAAATAGATTAAGTTAGCACTATGGTAAATTTAAATAGATAATTATGGTTGCAAACTCCATTGGAAATTTGAATTGAGATTATGATCATATCTTGAGGGAAAGAATTTTTTGTGGGAAAAAAAAGGGGGGGGGGGTTAAAAAGAAATTGTGGGGGTCAATTTTTTCTCATTTCAGATTTCAGAAATTAAAAAGAATTATTCTTCAAATATTATTTTTTTTTCAAATTTCAAATATTGAAAAATTTCAAGAAGTAATCTTAAATTGCACAGTATGGCGCATTAGATTTGTAAAATCTTTGACCACATTTATTTATTTGTTATGCGGAATCTAACCGTGTATTTAGATTTTTTATTTTGGGTCCAGTTTTCAAATTGGTCTACATTAAGGTCCAAAGGGTCCAAAATTAAACTTTGTTTGATTTTAACAAAAATTGAATATATGGGGTTCTTTGATATGCTGAATCTAAACATGTATTTAGATTTTTGATTTTTGGCCCAGTTTTCAGGTTGGTCCAAATTGGGGTCCAAAATTAAACTTTGTTTGATTTCAACAAAAATTGAATATGTGGGGTTCTTTGATATGCTGAATCTAACCATGTATTTAGATTTTTTATTTGTGGGCCCGCTATCAAATTGGTTCATATTGAGGTCAAAAGGGTTCAAAATTAAACTTTGTTTGATTTCATCAAAAATTGAATTATTGGGGTTCTTTGATATGCCAAATCTAACCGTGTTTTTAGATTTTTAATTTTGGGTCCCGTTTTTTAAATTGGTCTACATTAAGGTCCAAAGGGTCCAAAATTAAACTTAGTTTGATTTTAACAAAAATTGAATTCTTGGGGTTCTTTGATATGCTGAATCTAAACATGTGTTTAGATTTTTGATTATGGGCCCAGTTTTCAAGTTTGTCCAAGTGGGGTCCAAAATTTAACTTTGTTTGATTTCAACAAAAATTGAATATATGGGGTTCTTTGATATGCTGAATCTAACCATGTATTTTGATTTTGGACATTGGACCATAATAGGTAAATTAAAAAAATTCAAGTTCTTAGACCACATTCTTTCTGTGTCAGAAACCTATGCTGTGTCAAATATTTAATCACAATACAAATTCAGAGCTGTATCAAGCTTGAATGTTGTGTCCATACTTGCCCCAACTGTTCAGTGTTCGACCTCTGCGGTCGTATCAAGCTGCGCCCAGCGAAGCATTTTATTTTATATTTAAGTCTCCCAAACGAAGTTTGGGAAGACTTATTGTTTTTGCTCAGTTCTTATTATTATTCTTCTTCTTCTTCTTCTTCTTCCGCCGCTTTTAGATTTGAACTTGTCCGCACCCGTTCTCCAAAACCGCTTGTCAGATTAACTTAGGGTTTCACAATATGTTAGACTAACATGTCTAGTGGTGCAATCAGGGTTTTGTTTGTGCAATGGGGTTTATAAAGGGGTACTTTGAGGGGCAAAAAGAAAAGAGGGTTTTACTATAGAACCCTATGGGATTTTATTTTTTAAAATTTTCAAATGATTATAAATTGAAAACCGTTTGTGATAGACACAATCTTTTTAATTGAAAATGTTCTAAATGATAAAGCCCATTAAATGAAATACAGGGTTAGTCCCCAGGGGTCACCCCCACCCCCTGCCATTTAAGAAAGTTCTAATACCTTGTAAGTGGTCAAGATCCCCACCCCTAAACCATATATATTTTGGTTTGTTATGCTAAGATGGTTTGAATGATATACAGGATTAGTCCCCAGGAGTCATCCTGACCCCCTGCCATTTGAGAAAGTTTTAATATCTTGTAAATGGTCGAGATCCCCACCCCTAAACCATATATATTCTGGTTTGTGATGATAAAGCACATCAAATGTTATACAGGGTTAGTCCCCAGGGGTCACCCCCACCCCCTGCCATTTAAGAAAGTTCTAATATCTTCTAAGTGGTCAAGATCCCCACCCCTGAACCATATATATTCTGGTTTGTCATGCTAAGATGGTTTGAATGATATACAGCGTTAGTCCCCAGGTGTCATCCCGACCCCC